AGCAGCCTTAGCGTCTCATGCCCATCTCTGGGGTCCGCGCTTTTAGCCGCGGCTCACGCCCGTCTCTGGAGCTCCTTTAAGCAGCGCTCTCAATCCCCTCTCCTCGCGCACCAGGAAACAAAGAGGTAAGAAAAAGTCTGTTGCCTCTTCGGCAGGTCCAGACTTTTCCCCGGACTCCCTCCCCGCTAGCCGTGGCGCACTAACGCCCTGCAGGCTGTGTTCACACCGCCAACCCCAGTCCTCTGCCGGCGCTCCGACCGAAGCCCGAGCCTCAGCTCCCAGCCCCGCCCGCCCCGGCGGGTGAGCAGACAAGCCTCTCGGGCTGGTGAGTGCTGGTCGGCACCAATCCTATGTGTGGGAATCTCTCCGCTTTGCCTTCCGCACCCCTGTTGCTGTGCTCTCCTCCGCGGCTCCGAAGCTCCCCCGCTCCGCCACCCGCAGTCTCTGCCCGTGAAGGGGCTTCCTAGTGTGTGGAAATCTTTCCTCCTTCACGGCTCCCTCCCACTGGTGCAGGTACCGTCCCTATCCTTTTGTCTCTGTTTTTTCTTTTTTCTTTTGCTGTACCCAGGTACGTGGCGGGGGGGGGGGGTTCTTGCCTTTTGGGCAGTCTGAGGTCTTCTGCCAGCGTTCAGTAGGTGTTCTGTAGGAGTTGTTCCACGTGTAGATGTATTTCTGGTGTATCTGTGGGGAGGAAGGTGATCTCCGCGTCTTACTCTTCCGCCATCTTCCCGGAAGCTTCCCGGTTTAATTGATTTTTCATCTTGGACTTGAGGCATGGGGAGGTGGGCATCCATTTTTGTGATTATGTTTCTTAATATAGAGCCATAATATGCCAGCCAGTATTTGTTATATGTTTTAGTCAGTGATTACAAGCTTTTAGAATCATAAAATTGTGAATGCGTAAAACATTTTATAGGTCACCCAGTTTAACCTGCTACTTAGGAGTTTCCTCTACAACAGAGCTTCTCAAACTTTACTATCCACATTAATCACAGCTAAAGATGCAGATTCTGATTCAGTAGGTCTCTGCATTTCTAACACACTCCCAGGAAGCTGCTGGTCCAGGGACTACACTTTGCGTAACAAGGCTTCTGAGCATTCCTGACATTGCTGCCTTGGGGATGATTCTGCTATAGTCGCTTCTTCATATTTTGATAATCCTAACTGTCACATACAGAAATCAGTAGGTCTTGGATCAAAGCCAAACTCAAAACATGTGCAAAATTTTTCTGATGGTTTAAAAATATAAATCAAAATGACATTGCAGGGCTTCCCTGGTGGCACAGTGGTTGAGAGTCCGCCTGCCGATGCAGGGGACACGGGTTCGTGCCCCGGTCCGGGAAGATCCCACATGCCGCGGATTGGCTAGGCCCTTGAGCCATGGCCGCTGAGCCTGCGTGTCCGGAGCCTGTGCTCCGCAACGGGAGAGGCCACAACAGTGAGAGGCCCGCATACCGCAAAAAAAAAAAAAAAAAAAAAAAAGACATTGCAATTGAAAGGAATTTTTAAAAAGCTAATGTGTAGGCAGGATCTGAAGAGTCTTAAGTATATCTATAAATATATAGATATATATACATATATAAATATATATACACACATACATATATACATACATATATGTATGTGTAAGTTTATATAGCCTACATCCATATTAAATCATACAATTGTGAAAATCTCAAGTTATATATTATTTCGTGGCACTTACAACTTTAACATTTTCCTTTACATTAATTTTTATAACAAAATGAAAAATCACGGGGTATAAATTTGGACTGTCCTATGGATGTAAGCGTGACTCTAAGTGTAATGTTGCCAGCCGTTCTGCACTAAGGAAGCCTGTAGCCAAGTTCAAACGTTGGTTTCATTGGATTGAGTTGAAGTGGTTTATGTAGCTAGCTCTATCTTTAAAGCTAAAGTTACTGGTTTTATTATTTAAATTTGGCTACTGCACATACTGATTACCTTAATTCTTATTTAATATTTGAAAGTTATTACTTTGGAGAAAGTCAGCCGAGCAATGGTGATTATAGCGTATCAAAATCCATTTTAAGTGATTACTTTAATGACTCTGTACCAACAGGAATACGTAGACATTCAGACAAAAAATAATCTAATTATAATGACAGCACCAAAGTGAAGCTGTGACAGTTACAAAACCAATTTAAAAGTTTTTTGACAGCCATGGCTAAAAGCTTTGTTTGGACCTTTCAGTAATAACAGTTTACTTAAGACATAAATCCACAGCTAAGGAAAATAGAAAGTTGTGGCTTTTCTGTCATGCAGATGAAGTGGAAATCAGTTGAAATGTTTTTAATAGAACATTATATTGAAAAGAGTATAGAAAAGGAATAATAGTTACGGAATTTAACTCTCACAATGCAAGAAAGACTAAATAAAAATTCTAATGAGGATAGAAACTTGGCCACTGATTTGCTTATCTACTTTATGAAGGTCAGTAGTTCCTGCAAGCAAATTGATGTGCATTTAAATATGTTGACTGACAGTTCTGGAACTTGATTTTGTATTACCCATAAAATAAAGTCAAGGGCAAATAAATGGATGTTAGAATGCATCAGTAGCCATGGTGACACACAACCTTACTAGATACCTGCTTTTCCAATGGCTCTGACATCTCTCACATTATTAGACTTTATTACTTTTATTTATCTCACTTGGCTCTGGACTCAAATATACAACATAATTAATTCTTTGACCTAGTACAATTTATTTCTCATTCCTGAACAGAAAAATACCTCATTCACAGAACTGCATTTTTTTTACTGCAAATCTTAATAGAACATTTATAATATGCAAGTGCTGATGTAAGAGCTTACAAATATTTACTTGTTTATGATAACAACTTTTAGAGTAGCCAGTTTTGTCTCCATTTTACTGATGGGAAAACTGAGGCACAGAGAGGTTTAAGTATCTTGCTCAGGGCCAGAGTTCGTATGTGGTAGAGTTTCAGCTCCACGCACTTTGGCTCAGAGCCCGTGCTGTTGCTGACTGTAGGGTGATGAAGCCATATGAATGTGCATATGTGGATGCAGAGAGCCAGTGGTGGGCTCAGAGGCATCCTTTGCCTCTTTTTCTGTTCTTAGGTTCTGGTTTAGTTATGTTCTTTCAGTTGCAAAGACCGAAGGAGTCTCAGGTCGAGATCAAATGGTGTCCTTATGTGTTTGTAAGTACTAAGAACAGGCGAGACCCTGCTACATGGTGGCACCAGTCCCCGGGCAGTTGGCGCCAAGGGATGTGATTCAGTGGTTTGTTATGTGGTCAGCCTCTCTCTCCTCCTTCTTCTGCCCAGGGCCTTCAGCTTCTACTCTGTCCTTTTATATACTTCCTACCCCACAGTGGGCAGGGGCTACCAGAATGGACTTAAACAGACAGGGGTACGGAGCCTGGCTCTGCTGTATACTTGCTGTGTGACCTTGGACATATGACTTAATCTTTCTGAGCTCACTGGAAGAAGTGAGTAATATATCCCACTGTGTATATGGTGGAGATGAAAAGAAATGAAATAAATAACATACTTATAGTATTCAATACATGGTAGCTATTATAATAATAGTCATTTTTTTGGAATGCCTAATTATTTCACCTCAGTGTAGGCAGCAGACTTGGACCAGACTTGGGTCCAAATTGTGGTTCCATCTTCAACATGTGTGTGTGAGACAGGAAGTTATTTAACTTCTCTGAGCCTCAGTTTCCTTCTCTATAAAGTTAGAGTAACTTCCTAGGGCCGTTATGACATTAAATGAGTTAATTTATGTAAAGCACCTACAACAGCTCCAGGCATATAATAATTATAAATATAGACATTAGCTATTATTAGTTGTAGTATAATTTTCAATAACATATTTATGCAAAGGGAACAAAGTTCCAATATATAAGATAAATAAATTCTGAAGGTCTACTATACAGCATAAGTGCCTGTAGTTAGCAATACTCTATTGTATATTTAAAATTTGCTAAGAGGATAGATCTTATGTTGTGTTCTTACCACTAATAATAATAATAATGGAGTTGAAAGGAAGCTTTGGGAGGTGACGGATATGTATATGGCCTTGATGATGGTGATGGTTTCATGGGTGTATTTTTACCCCCGAGCTCATTGAGTTGTATACATTCAATATGTACCACTTTTTTTAAAGTCAACCATACCTCAAAAAGTGGTTTAAAACATAGAGAGTAAATTATTAAAAATAGTAATTTAAAGAAATAAATAATTTACAGAGGCAATAAATTTAAAAATAAATAGATCTTAGGTTTCTCCCACTTTTCTGCTTTTATGATTATCTCGAAAATGCTTTCCTCAGCAGTAGCTCTTTCTCTTAACAGAATAGAGCAATACTTGTTATGTGGTATCAGCTTTCCAAAAATAATTTCTGCATAGAGTCAGTAGTAAGGATAAAAGCTTCCTAACTAATCAGTGAAAATTAAGATACAGGCTGTATACAAGTTCAATGAAATGTATTTTCAACTTTTAACCAAAAGTCTCTGAAACTCTCTCCCCAGTTATTTTTTAGCTGCCTGCAGAAAAATGATTCCTTTGCTCACTATTCAGTGACATTCATCAAGTTATCTTAGAAGGACTGTTCTGGACATGTGGTTGCCAAGGGGCAGGGGAGTGGGGGAGGGAAGGATTGGTAGTTTGGGATTAGCAGATGCAAACTATTATATAGAATGGATAAACAACAGGCCCTACTGTAGAGCACAGGGAACTATATTCAATATCCTGTGATAAACCATAATGGAAAAGAATCTGAAAAGGAATGTGTCAATGTATGTATGTATAACTGAATCAGTTTGCTGTACAGCAGAAATTAACACAACATTGTAAATCAACTATACTTCAATAAAATAAATTTTTTTTTAAAAAAGACTGTTCTGCACAGCAGCATATCACAAAGATGTTGCAGACCAAGGCCTAAGCACATAGTTCTGTTGAATCACGGGTTTGTTTCTTTGTTAAGAGTCCATCTGTTTTGCCTCCTCAGCAAATGATGCGGTCATCCGTCTTCCACATGTTCATCCTGAGCATGGTGACTGTGGACGTGATAGTGGCTGCCAGCAACTATCACAAAGGAGAAACCTTCAGAAGGCAATATGATGAGTTCTATCTTGCGGAGGTAAGCAGCTCACGGGGTGCAGATCACTTTTCAAGGTAGACGAAAACCTCGGCTAGTCATAGCACCTTTTTTCAATGTGAAAATTGCAGTTTGTTAATTACTTGACTCTGACCAAAGCTGATTCATTGTCTGCTTCAGAGGTGTTTCCCTTGGTCACCGTGTTGCCTGATTTGTTTCCTGTCGCCCTGAGCCTGAGTGATCTTTCCCACAGTGTGTCACATTGCCACGGTAACCTTGCCCTACGGTTACTCTGGCCATCTTGCTGTTTTCCTATCAACCTCTTATTTTCTCTCCTTTGTCATGTTGTGTTAGTCTGTTTCCTTCTAAGTGTAAGCAAAGCACAGATTCAGAATATTATAAATGAGCAAGTCATCTCAACAGTACCAGGGAGGGGGCTGGGGAGAAGCTGAAGGATTTCTGTTCTAAAAATCTGAAGTGTTGCAACCTGCACTAAAGATGTCCACTCAGGAACAGGTAGGTTTAGTGATTAGATTAGCATCATCCAGCACTCCGCATCCCATACCAGAGTTTTGTAATAGACTTCTTACTGCTGGGATAACTTTGTTAATATTTGATTCTTAAATATTTTTTAATGATTTCCAGAGACCACTACTTTTTTTCATTGTAAAAAATTATTTCTAAAATATATCTTAGAATTCAGTGGTTATGTACTTATGTAAAAATTGACAGCTCTTTCAAAACCCATTCATCATATAAGTGAGGAATGCATATTCAGCTGTGCTACCCTTCAAGAAATCCAATATATGAAAAAGACAACTTAAAAAGCAGAAACATCGCAATGTGATTTTTTTTTTTAATATTTATTTATTTATTTTTGGCTGTGTTGGGTCTTCGTTTCTGTGCAAGGGCTTTCTCTAGTTGCGGCAAGCGGGGGCCACTCTTCGTCGCGGTGCATGGGCCTCTCACTATCGCGGCCTCTCTTGTTGCAGAGCACAGGCTCCAGACGTGCAGGCTCAGTAGTTGTGGCTCACGGGCCTAGTTGCTGCGCGGTATGTGGGATCTTTCCAGACCAGGGCTCAAACCCGTGTCCCCTGCATTGGCAGGCAGATTCTCAACCACTGCGCCACCAGGGAAGCCCGCAATGTGATTATTTTTATTACAAAACCACTTTTCATGTACAAAATCAACTTGCCTTATAGTTGAGTTCCTTATATATGCAGAATTCTCCCAGTGCATTTAAAAATGGATTTGGTTAATAAAAAGTCAGTCCACCAACACATCAACTTTTCAGAAAAAGAATTGATAGTATACAGCTATTGAATATAAACATCTGTGTGGGTGTCAAGAACCTTTAAAGGAGTCACTTACGAATTCCCCTCTTGTGGAGGTTTGTTTCCTGTAAGAAAATATCATTAGTATTAGACTTTCACTGTAGTAGAGTCTCTGTGATGTGACACTGCCTGATAGCTGTGTCGTATATGGAGCTTACAGTTTAGCAAAAATATAGACAGTGAACAATAACAACTTTTTATGCTGTGGAGAACAAATGACAGGGGCTCATGAAGAAATTATGTCCAGCCCAACACCTGAAAAATGGGTATAATCTTGCTGCAAATCCAGCACAGAAAGCATGGCTTGTCATTGAAAGCAGAGGGGAACATGGACCAAGAGTCATCCTTGCAGGTGAATTTCTAACACAGGGATGGGACTTGAAGGAATCCCAATCAAGTAATTTCCGTCTGTCCTGTGAAGTAGGAAGCAAGGTCTCATCCAGCCTGATGATGAGACGGTGAAGTGGGAAGCTTGTGGAGAAGAGGGATAGGACACGGGTCATGTGGAGAATGCAAAAAGCTAATGACTGATACATCGAATGCAGCACTGAAGATTGAGACTACAAATTTATAGTGATGCCAATTGAGACAGGCCTGTGACTTTTTTCGGCCTTTCATAAAAGGGAGAAAGGCAACATTCGGATTGATCCAACTCTAGAGCTTTTTCAGTCTAGTGGAGCTGAGAGACAAGGGATCAGGGAACATGGGTGGTTGGCAAAGGAGTTGAAATGATGACCCTGTGGTCTAGGTTGGATATGAAAAGAGGGAAAATAAGAGGAGAATGAAAGAGTAAAAATGAAGGATCAAGGGTCTCCAATGGTCAAAGAACAGGTATAGTTAAAGGGATGGAGTAAGAGAGCTAGAAGGTAAGGTTGTGATCAGAGAGCGGGGTGCAGGATTTATATTTCAGAATAATTCTGGGTAACTAAATACAAAATCTAGGGTGTTCTATGGATGTGGGTGGCTCAGACGTAATGATGGAGTCAAGGCAAAGATGGCAGGGAACTGTCGGGGTATGGTGTTGGCTAAATCTTCACAGTGACACACGTCATTGAGCGTTGAGGCCAGTTCTTCTGGAAGGGAGTGTAAGTGGCATGTGGGAGTGACTGACAGAGAAATGAATAGAGATCAATAGAGGGCCTTCTATCGAGGGCATGGGGAGAGTGTGGGAGAGGGGGTTTTCACCTGACGGAGTACATCTCAAAGGGGTGTGGAGCAGTAATGGGTGGGGCATCTCTTCCTCATCCACACCTTGTCCTCCATGGGCCACACGGGGCATTGGAGCATGAGTATCCTTTTCTGGACAGGGCAGTGGGGGGAGTCATGCATTTGGGACAGGACCGGTAGAGACAAGGATAGAAGAAGCGGACTCTGTGCTCAGAGATCCAGAGTGAAGAAGAAATTGTTTAACAGGGAACGAGAAACCCAAAGGTTAGTTAAAGGCTCTGGGTGGAATGAGGAGGGAAGAGAGGTGAGGTGGAAGAATTACACAATAGTATTAGAACCAGAGGCAAAAAGGCTGATGACAGAAATGCCTAGAATAAAAACAGAAACGGCTACACGTGATTGACCTTATGCCTGTCTCACTGGAAGGAGCAAATTATATTTGCTTCTGAGGGAGCCCTGGATATTTAGAGATTCCATTAACATTTCCTTTGTAGCCCAGTGTGCATACTCAGTAGTACTAAATCAATCCTATACAGTAAATATATAAGCCATTCTGGGAACAGAAGAACAGAACAGAATCCTCCGGTAAATTTTACCTAATTTTTTCATAAACAAAATTGATCTCTTTCCTAATGTGTTTATGTGTGTTAGCTGATTTATGATCATGCTGTAAGAAATTCCAACAAAATTTCAAATATTTTAATATTGTAGAGTTCATTGATACTATTTAAGTGTATAGGTGGCGTCCAGTGGTAGTTGAAAAATCCTTGTCATTGTTCTTTTTTGTATATAGTACTATTTTTTAATTTAAAAAATCAGAAAGAGGGACTTCCCTGGCTGTCCATGGTTCAGACTTCGCCTTCCAATGTAGGGGGTGCAAGTTTGATCCCTGGTCGGGGAGCTAAGGTCCCATATGCCTTACAGCAAAAAAACCAAAACATAAAACAAAAGCAATATTGTAAGAAATTCAATAAAGACTTTAAAAATGGTCCACACACAAAAAAATTCTTTTAAAAAAAGATTATTAAAAAAAAAATCAGAAAGAGAGGATTGTATAGTAAAATCTGGCACATGTGTTTCTATTAATTGTTGCCCACTTCCCAAACCACTGAAAGTAAATTTGATTTTCATAAACAACATAGTAGAGGTTTAGTTCACTTACAAAATGTATAGACATCACTTTATTCTTGAACTACTGAAACATTCAGAATTTGTTCACATCTATTTATCGATTTGGGGTGTCTGAGTTTCCCAAAGCATGTTTGGTCTTTATTCAAATCACATTATCTCTTTTCTTTGTATCAGAAACTTGCACATGGTTTGTTTTAAATGAGTGTGGATAAGTCATTTTAATCACACTTAATTTTTTATGAAATACTCTCTTTTAAAAAAATTGGTAAAGATGGTTTGGGCTTAAGCCAGGAGTCAACAGACTTTTTCTTGAAGAGCCAGATAGTAAACATTTCAGGCTTTTCAGGCCATGTGCCCTCTGTTTCAACTACTCAACTCTACTGCTGTTGTGCAAAAAGTGAATGTGGCCTCAGAAGGGTTGTGTCCCAGTGAAATTTTATTTATGAAAATAAGCATTGAGCTTGATCTTGGTTTAAGCTGTAGAAACACAGAGCATGCCAACTAACATCCCCATGGGTTAAATTCAAATATAGTAAGACTAACAACATAATAGCTACCATTTTTTTAGAGGTTCCATTATGTTGCCAAGTGCTTTAAAGGAATTCATTATCTCATTTAATCCTCAAAATGGCTATAATAACAGCAGTTCAAGTTTATGGACTATAATGACATAGTGTTTAAGGTAATAGCATTATGTAATATTTTGAAATGTTTACCTTTAAAATAGATCACAAGAGGCCATGAGCTTTCAGAGAAGTAATTTCTTGAGTTCCCACATATTCCAGAATAAATTATTTTGAAAATCCAAAATAAACCACTCTACCCAATAGGAGTCAACGTGCACTCTAAAAAACATCCTTTAAGCATAAATTAACCTGCTTAGCTTCTACTGTGAAGCTGGGGACTTGTTTAGTTACTTTGGATCAACTAACGTAAATTTAGAATTAGTTGAGAAACAGGGAAAACTATTCTTTGTTTTCTAGGCTCTACATAAACATAAAGAGGTAAAGAGTTACTTTCTTTTGTAAGAGTTTCATTTTGATCTAAGATAAGTCATTGTCATTAATATACATAAAATCACATGTTATAATGAACATAATTATATTTTACAATGTATAGTCTCATTTTCTTAATAAAGAATAAAACTTGAACAATACTGTCCTATTATTATATAAAAAATATAAATATATCTGTATATCCACTAGATTGTATGTTTAACAGAAGTTTATCAGCACAGCCTTATGCACAGAAGATTCACAATTTTAACAAAATTCCTCTTTTAAGAAACTCATAAATTGGTGGGAGAGAGAGGAGAACAATGAAGTTATAACAGCATATCCCTGTTGCATTTCTGGTCGAGAGAGAGGTTTACCTCATTTAGAAACTCCAGGGTGTCTCTTTGGTTTCCTC